CTAGTGATGAGGTAGAAAAATTGTTTTTGATTTGGATAAACAAAAAGCAATTATTTAGCCAGTGACAGCATTCCAGGGGCAGTGGTATGTGAAAAAGTGAAGATGCCGCATGCTGACCTGAAAGACACCCCTGGAACAAGTGCTGACAGTGATTTGTTTGAGGCTAGTAGGGGGTGATTCAATAAATGTAAGAAAAAATGTTTATAGATTAAACAGTACATTAGACATGTATTCTATATAAGAAAGATTATAACAGGAAATCATTTGGGGGTCTGCAATGAATTAATTCAGTTTGCATTATTTCTAATAGAAAAAAATGACTCGGTTTTTGAACAAATTGCTTCTCAAACTTAATTTGTTCCAGAAGGCTGGTCAAAAACCAAATAATTTTTTCCCATTAGAAAAAATGTAAATTGAATTAATCTGTTTCAGACCCCCAAATGATTCCTTGTTTTAATCTTTCTTATATACAGTATACATCTAATGTATTGTTCAATATAAAAATACATAAAAAACAAAAAGGACATGAAATGTAAATACAAATTTGAAAAAAAGGAAATAAAATATACAGTAAAATATAAAAATTTAATAATAGTAATAATAATAAACAGCATCAAAAGCAAAAAACATGAAAATATTCACAGCAAAGTTTTCTGAGATGTTAACAACATGAGGTTTAGTGGTAAACTGACTCGTGCATTCTCTCTTTTGTTTGTCACCTGAGAGACTCATAACTGATCATACAGGTATCAACATGAAAAGGTTGTTGGGTTGAGAAGCAAACTGTTTGAGTTGGGAGACATTCAAGAACTGAGGTTTGACTGTACTTATCTCTGTGAGAATTTATGTTCTTTCAGTAATACATAAGACTTGAGGGGCTGATGCTGCCTCCACACCCACTGCCAGAAGGAAGCTAGGATGCTGGGAGGATCATTAAGGCCACTTGCATGAGAGAACAGAGTGAACAGAGAGAGAACACCTAGGAAAAACGAGCATTTAGATGCCTGGGAGGAACAAACTTTGCAGGGGCTTATGGGTGACTAAATGGGATAAATAAATATACATTTTATACCTCTGGACTTCAGCAGTGTGTATAATACAATTATAGTATGGTCACCAAATATGTTAACAATATTAAGAAAAAGAGGAACATGATAACCACCAGCTGGCAAATTAGTGTGTCAAAACTAAAACAAATAAAAAGAAATTATATTGGCAAATAGATCCATGAAACAGAACGGAGTACCCAGAAACAGACCCACATAAATATAGTCAACTGATCTTTGACAAAGCAAAGGCAATACAATGAAGCAAAGGTCATCTGTTCAGAAAATGGTGCCAAAACAACTGGATATCCTCAAACAAGAAATTAAATCTAGACACAAACCGTATACTCTTCACAAAGTTAAAATAGATCACAGATGTAAATGTAAAATACCAAACTATAAAAATCCTAGAAGATAACATAAAGAAAATCTCAATGACCTTGCATTTGACAATGACTTCATAGATAAGACAACACAGACATGATCCATAAAAGAAAAATTTGATAAGCTGAGCTTTATTAAAATTAAAATGTTCTGCTTTGCAAACGACAAAGTTAAGAGAAGAAAAAAACAAACCAGAGACTGGGAGAAAATATTTGCACAATACATAGCTGGTACAGGACTATTATACAAAATATACTTAATAAGAAAATAACCAACCCAATTTAAACAATGGACCAAGGACCTTAACAGATAATTCACCATAGAAGTTAATAGTGATGGCAAAAAAAGCACATAAAAAGATGCTTCACATCATGTCATTAGAGAAATGCAAATTAAAACAATAATGAGATACCACTACAACCTATTAGAATGGCCAAAATCCAGTGAGCAAGAACTCTCATTCATTGCTGGTGGGAGTGCAAAATGGTACAGCCACTCTGAAAAACAGCATGATAGTTTCTTACAAAAGTAAACATACTCTTATCATTAGATCCAGCAATCAAACTCTTTGGTATTCACCCCAAAATGATGAGACTTGTGTTCATGCAAAAACCTGCACACAGTTGTTTAAAGTAGCTCTATTCATAATTGCCAAGACTTGGAAGCAATCAAGATGACCTTCAGTAGGTGAATGAATAAATAAACTGTTGGTTCATCCAGACAGAGAAATATTATTCAGAACTAGAAAGAAATGACCTATCAAGCCATGAAAACACATAGAAAAACCTTAAATGCATATTACTAAGTGAAAGAAGCCAATCTGAAAAGGTTATGTACAGTATGATTCTAACTATATGACATTCTGGATGGTGGGAGATGTTGATAATGAGGGAGGCTATCAATGTGTGGAGGTCTATGGAAAATCTCTATATCCACCTCTCAATTTTAGTGTGAACCTAAAAACTGCTCCAAAAAATAATATTTTAAATAATTAATTAAAATAAAAATTAATAATTCCTAAAATATGAATTTTTAGATTCAGAAAATCATTACTTTAGTTCAAAAACTATGAAAATATCCATTACCTTGGTCTATACAGCTCAGCTAAGAAGGTAGAAAAAATGTTTCTTTTTCTAATTATCTTAGCCCAGAGTTCCAAACATGTAAAATAAATCCATTTTTAGCTAGACTATATCAACATTGGTTCTTATTTTAGGTGGTCATAGCACTAAAAATAAAACTATTAAGCATGGTTAGGAGGATAGAAGCAAGCAGTGTTTTCTGGCCTGAGTAGCCGAAGTGGAAGAAGAATAACTGAGGAAAGACCCACTGTGTTGAGCTTTACCCCAGGGCTGCAGAATTATCCAGAGAGCACACAACCCATGTGGATTCCTGAGTTTCAGCCCAAACTAAGAAAGTTTTTCACCTGGAGGTCTTTTTTATAGGATGATTTACTCATGCTTGCATTCTCAATTTGGATTTATCTTTAAGTTGGCAGTATTAAGCAATTTTCTTTCAAGAAGAATGCCTGGGTGGTATGTTATAAGATGATATTCCTTATCTTTCTCATTCAAAACTATTTCCAGAAAATGAGACTCTATTTGCAGAGACTCATTTAAAATCATGGTTCTTTTCAATTTACATACTCAATGATTTTTTTTTTAAATATAACTTAAAATACATTATATCATTACTACATATTATACTTCAATAAATCTTAATGTATAAAGTACATTTTTTATAATTATCAGAAAAATCTATAAACAAGCTCCATTCTGCCTCACTTCTCCACCAGCTAGCCTTGCATTTATTACTATGCGTTTTAACAGGCTCATGCAAATTTCACCTTCCATTTTTTAAATTTGATCCAAGCACCAGTTGTGACCAAAATCTCTGGAACTATGAAATATTTTTATTCACATGGGTTATTTTCCACACAATGATGCCCACTATAAAAAAAGCTTTGTTGCATACTCTATATTTTAACTTCCAGAGTTTTCCACTAAACAGTAGAACCACAGTACTTGGGATTCTCAGCCAAGGAGTATATAATCCTACTACTATAATGTATTACCTTTATACATTTTTAAAAATGTGTTAAGACTTAAAATTTAAAAAAAATAGTTCAATCAATTCCGATAGTTAATAAACTAGTTGTTAATAACATAATCGTTTATTTTTTAAAAATAGAACAATCCATTCAACATGTTAAGTACCACCTCAATGCTATTAGAGATTGATTCATTTTTTAAAAAGCCACAAACCTCCCAACTGTGATAGAATTTTAGACTCACCTCTGAAGAATGTGGAGAGATAATTAGCTCTTTGAGCTGTCTTCCTTTCCCCCAAATACAACACCCTGGTAAGAGAACCATGGTCTGGGAATTTCAGAGCTGACCTCCCCCAGGACTGCTCAGAAGTGGGCAAGAGGCTGACTCAAAAGAACAGCTTTTTACCAATTCCCCAATAATTTACAGTGGAAGAATTATCTACCTACTTATGGTAGGGTTACAGTACCTAGCACAGTGCCTTATTGGTAGAAAATGTTTAATAATAAATGAATGCATGACTGCTTTGTTAGCCTGGTGTTCAACCCACTTTTACCAAAAAAATAAAATAGCAAACCTGATACTCGTTACCCACCTGGTCAGGGATTTTTCTGTCCTTAACAAAAACGAAGGCAAAATAATAATAAATTGTATCTTCAAGTCTGTTTTGTTTTCTAAAAGCCAAGATAGACCATTACCGTTTTACATTTGCCCTTCAACACTGTCATTCACTGCAAATTTTCCCCTAGTGTTATTTCTACTTTCATATTTTACAATTATTATTTAGACTGCCCACTTTCTAATGAACAATACATGGATGAACATTATTTTCAATACTGGGATGCCTCCAAATTAGACAGGATGTGTCGTTTTTTTATTTTCCTACAGGCAGATAATTACAATTAGATAAATTCCTGATACACTTCAATTCTTGGATCAAAGTATTTTTATATTTCCCAATCTAGGTGTCCCTTTCTTTTCGATGATTTATCACCATCACTTCTAATTTTACTTTGAAGCTTTTAATCATCCTTTATCTTCTATTTTCTGAAATGCATATCCAAAATGGATAAAAAGAAACAGAAGAGTAAATTTTGAAAAGATGGTTTCAGTTTTCAGACTTCATAATTCCTATGTTGCCTTTTAATGTAGAAGGGAATGTATCCTTGCAAAGATCATTTTGCTGATCAACACAGGATTAATGTTATTTGTCTACAAAAAAAAATTTTAAGAAAGAAACAAAGAATCAAGCAGATCATTATTTGGAAAAAATAGTAAGAATATAAACATTACATGGAAGATTTAGGCATTAACATGTGAATTAAGCTTAAAATTTCAGGTTCTAGGCAGGTATGACACCATTTCTTTCAAGATAAAATAATAATGGTGGGTGACAATTTTCTACATTTCCCAGTGGATTTTCTAACATTCTTAGGGAAACCAAACTATTATGTATCATTCCATGTTTTTAATTTTGTATTCATTTCTGAAGAAATAGACCTGAGTGCTATCTTTTTTTTCCTAATTTCTTAAACTTTCACAACATTCAGAACTTTTTCTGCATTGTGTCTTCGCTGATGTCTAAAAAGATTTGAGCTCTGACTATAGGATTTCCCACACCGAACACATTCATAAGGTTTCTCCCAAGTATGGATTCTCTGATGATTAATAAGCCCAGAATTCTGGCTAAAGCCTTTTCCACATTCAAGACATTTGTAAGGTTTTTCTCCAGTATGGACTCTCTGATGTTGCACAAGGATAGAACTTCTGCTGAATGCCTTTCCACATTCAACACATCTGTAGGGTTTCTCGCCACTGTGGATTCTTTGATGAAGAATAAGGGCTGAGCCCTGACTGAAGTGTTTTCCACATCCATCACATATATGTTGTTTCTTTCTAGAAGGATTTCTCTTTCTTTCAAACCTGCCCTTAGGGAAACAGGCTTCTCCATATTTAAAAATCTGAGGAACACCTATATTGAGAGTGCCAGGAATTTCATGAGATTCTACTGTTGAAGAAATCTCCTGCTTTGGAGCCAACACTCCATTTTCAGTTCTGGCATCATCATCACAGTGCAATAGGGAATGGAGCTCCCAAGATGCCCACTTGAGCTGGTTTTCCACAGCATCAAGCTCAGAATTTGATAATCCCTGAGCTGCTTCTTGAGATACAATCTCTTCTATCAGCACTTTCCGTTTTCATCGGCGGAGAGAAGCCGGCTGTCCGGGGTCATCTAGTTCACTGTCTAAATCCTCTAGCACCGTCACTGCCTCCTCTCCATTCTCTGGATGATGCTCTGGAACCCAAGTTTGCAGCTCCTTGGGTAGGATGGCAATGAACTGCTCTAGCACTACCAGCTCCAAGATTTGTTCTTTTGTGTGTGTCTCTGGCCTGAGCCATAGATGGCAAAGTTCTTGAAGCTGGCTCACAGCTTCACGGGGCCCAGGTGAATCCTGGTATCCAAACTGCCTGAATCGCTGTCGGAAAACCTCTGGGTCAAGTGATGGTTCCAGGGGATACTTGATCCCTCTTCACCATCAGGATCCTCCTCCAACTTCACTCTCAGAATTTTTTCCTCTTCATCTGGAGTTGGGATGATAAGTATAGAATCTTCTTCCACTGACTGTGCAGACATCCTGATTTAGAATACTTCAAGAAAAAAACAGGCAGGATACAGGCCTCAGGGAAATACCTCATTTTCTTCACAGGCAATCTATCCTCCGGCTCAGGAACCACGGCACCTTCACTGTCCACGGCAGACGCAGAAACGCCTCTCATAGCCATTTTCCTCAATGGATTTTTTTCAAAAAGGTTTGCTCCATTTCATCTTCTTTTAAATTGAATTTTTGCGGGTAACACTGACTCAATTTCATCTTTGATTATTGCTTCTGTTTTCATTGTTCTGTTCCTAAGGAGCCCCCAGAAACCTGGGGTTGAATCTCCAAACTTTATCATCCATAGTTATTATCTTAATGATCCCTCACAGTTGTCTTCTTCTTTATATTTTTCAAGAGCTTTTCAGATTGGTTTCTCAACATCACTAATTTAGCTTCTTCACTACATCGACTCTATTGCTTTGCAGCTTGAAATGAAGGTTTTCATTTTGCTGTTGCTCTGATTACATTCCCAATCTTAAGCTATCATTGATGACAATTAACCAAAAATACTGACGCGATTCAACTTCCATGGTAAGGAAATCTATTCTTTCACATAACTAGGACTTCTCACACCCTCATTTGGATATTAAGGTGATGTACATGACTACTCACCTGATTTTCATTACCTAGGAAGTCATCGTCTACTTTGTCTTTACTGGATTTAAAGGAATCTTATTCCACCTCCACTGCCTGTTTCATCGATTTGAATTATCAGTTGAAATACACAAACGCATGTAATCCTGAGGACCTGTAGCCAGTGCTCCTCCTGTCTCTGACTTTGCTGATGATATTTCCTTGAGGAAACTCATTGTTCTTTATAGGAGACACCAGAATGCTAAGGTCAACTCTCTGTTTCCTTCTTGTTTCTCCCTCTCTCTGTCTCTCTCACACACATGCATACCTATGCACACTCTCCCTTCCTGTCCATCTCTGGAGTTGCAGTATTATATGGATATGTTACCACCTGTACCAATAAGGTGAGGATCAACTATAGCTGATCATGCTATAGCTGCCTCAAAAATCAATTTAAGAGAGATGGTATTATCATTCCCTGGTTCAAGTCTTGAGTTTTTGATCCAGGGTAAATAAAGACTAAGAAGTGTTTTCCCTTATTTCAAGCTGGCAGCAGGCTGAGCATGAGTGTTTTATTAACTTACTCAACCTTGTTCTTAGTAGAAACTCCTTCCAAAGCCTGACAGTAGGTACTAGTTTATAATGATTGGCAAGTTAGGGTCTTTTTGTGTAACTAACAGAAAACTTTATCTGAACTAGCACTATTTAGAAAATATGCTATTTAAAAAAATATATCCACCCATAATCCTCTATTTGCATCTGAAATTTAATGTAAGAAATTTGCCCTGAGCCCAGGCTGCAGGATGCAGAGTGCTATCCCCTCCTGCACTCTCCTGGGCTGCAGCCCTTCATGATTCCACATTAGATCCCCAGGGTCCCTGGGGCACTGACAACCCGGGTCCAGTGTAAATATAAACTTGAATACTTTTGAAATATTATTGTATTTTTTACTTAAATTGTAGTACATGGCATAGAGGGAAAATATGATTGTAACTTATATGGCTCAGTAACGTTGTATATATCCCACAAAGAGACCCACTAAAGAGTTGGTTAACTGGTATGCAACTGAGGCTTCAAAATGCTTTATTTTATTCAGAAATATTTAGTGGGGTTTACATAGATGTTTAAAAGTATCTTAGAGCATTTTTTGGTGTGTTTTATTTTGTTTGTTTGTTTTTGTGGGGTTTTTTATTTTTCCAGAAAAAAAGATAATTGAGGTTTTAGGTGACCAGAGAAGCACTCTTAATTTTCCCACTTAAAAAAAAATAAGACTCTCACTCTCTTAAAATATGTTATTTAGCACGTTTTCAGAAAAGTAAGAATGAGCTATCAAGAATGACTGTATTTCAGTGGGAAGTTGGGAACTATGTCAGCACTCCTAACCAGTGGCATTTTCCTGTCCCTCCTTGAGCTGCTCTTCTCCCTCTCCCTTCCTGGCCATTGCAGGTGGATGCTCCCTAGTTTTGATCTCTGTAATATCCTGAAAGTCAGGCTACATTGTTGTCAACCCTGGACTCTACTGACTGACCACAGCAGCCAGGCTTTTTGTTTGTTTGTATTTTTGTTTTTTAAATTTTTTTTAAAGATTTTTAATTGTTTTTTTTTTTTGTTTTTTTTTTAGAGAGAGAAAGATGAGAGTCACACATGGATCAGCTGCCTCCCACACGCCCTGCACCAAGGATCCACGAGCAATTGAGCTGGCAGCTTTTCGGGGCACGGGATGACATTCAACCAACCGAGCCACAGTGGCAGGGCCACAGTAGCCAATTTTACTTCTGATGGAGTAGTCTGCAGGCCACGTTTGAATAATAAATAATTGTGGTCTGCAGAATACATAGCCAGGAACTGAATCTAAGCAAAGGTTGGATTAGTGCCTCTAGAAAAGGAAAGAATTCCTTATACTCCCTTACATCACCTGCTCCTCCTCTCCCTCTTCCCATTCCTCACACACACAGAGTGTGCCTGTGCTTTTCTTGCTGCAAACAGCAGCATAGGAGTTCAGTAACAACAAAGAAACAAATCTTCTCTCTTTCCAAATTCTCTGAAGCCTGGCAACTGGTAAAGGCTGCTCTTGCGGCATCATGTGTCAGTGCAAACTGCAGTGATTTCATTATTTCCTCATCAAAATAGAATGTTCTAACATCACCATTGGCAGAAACAGACTTTAAAAAAAAGGAAATTGCACTAACCCAACATCTGATTTATTTTTTTAATCAAATATCTAGGCTTAGACCCGAACTGATAACAGATTTTTGCATCCCTTTTCCTCACCTCCCCGTCAAAATATCCTATCTGCCACCTTAGTTTTGAAAAATTAGGGATAAAGTAAAGTGCATTTGTTTATAAATAAAATATTTACAGTTCTGTGTTAACTCAGGGATTGACAATTACAGCCCAAGGGCCCAGTCTCATCCACTGATTGTTTTTGTACAGCTAGCAAGCTAAAAATAGTTTTTACATTTTAACAGTTGGAGAAATTTCTTTTAAAAGAATAGTTTGTGACATGTGCAAATCATATATAATTCAACTTTTAGTGTCCATAAAGAACGTTTTGTTAGAACTCAGCCATGCTGGTGCATTTGCATATTATCTTTGGCTGCTTTTACACTACAATGGCAAAACTGAACAGCTGCAACCAATCAAGTGGCCCATGAAGCCTAAAATATTTACCATCTAATCCTTAGAAAAGGTTCGTCACCTCCTGTGTTAACCCATTAAAATAAACCAACAAAAAAAATCAAAATGTTGTTTGCATGATATTATTAGGACATTACATTATTAGAGAGCAAAGTAACTGCATACCACAGAGCATAAACAATTTTACATCAAGATTCTAAGGAGGAATCATCCTCTCTCTTGATTTTATTTACCTACAAAGAAGCTCAGAGGCAAATGCTGGTGAGTCAAATCCTTAGAAAAGTCAGAAGAAATCAGACACATTGTGCAATGAGTTGGAAACCCTGTCTGATGCGTTCAGAAGTGTGAGAAAAGGTTATTTCTTTGTTTTCTATAAGTTACTCCACTTTTCCTTGAAGTTGAAAGGGTGGAGATTAGGGAAAGCGCGTACAAATTTGCCAGCTAAATATATCAGTCTTTTCTAGTTTAACACTGTCTTATTTGGGTTACTTTGGTCTTTTTCAGTAAATCATCTTTCAACATTTCTGGTCACCTCTCACCCCCACCTTCCCTTCAGTTACTATAGGAAAAAACTTACAGGAGCTTAGCTACAGGAAAGAAATCTTAGATCCAAGTTAAGAGTCAGTTTCTCATCCCACCTGGTCATGGCACTGGTTCTCGAGTCTCCTCCCAGTGCTGCCATCTTGGCTCTATCTGGCTCTCACTGGTGTTACAAATGCTCTGAATCTTGACAATGTCCTTCTTCATCCCTTGGCCTGCCTGTCTACCCACAACCTCTGTTTCAGGTCCCAGATGCCCTGAGTGGCCCCATAGTAGGTCTGCTGGCTCTCAACTCAGCTACCTTCTACATTCTCCACTAGAAGAACACAGACTGTCTGGATATTTTTTATGCCACATAGGAGCCTAGGAATACTTGCTGGGTGTGTCTATATCTATCCTTTCTGCCCAGGCCCTTTACTAAGCCCTTTCTAACTTACCACCTGGGTGCCACCATATTGGTTGCAACAATTCTCTGGGACTCAACATTTCCCCAGTCTGTACCTGGAACAAAGCCACTGCTCTGGGAGTGCCTCAAACTACCCAGAGTCTCTAACATGGCCCTCTTTCAGGGGAAGAAGCCTAGACACAGTACCTGATGATTTTACCTTTATCTCCTATCTTGTACCTATTTGGTTAGATCTCCCCTTATGAAATAACTTAATTCTGCTCAACCTATACCTTATATGTCTAAACGCCAGACCACCTAACTGCCCATATATAAAGGCAGCTTTTAAAATTCAGAAAATAAACATTTTTTTCTCTCCATAAAGCTTGGTTTTCAGAACTATTATTTCAATATGGGATCAACAAAATCAGCTTTTGAAAATCAAAGCCCATTAATGGCATTTTTATTCCAGGCACTTCCCACTTTCCCCTTCCCTGCAGCTTGTGGGTTAGCATTCATAGTGGAAGGTTGTGGGGCACATGATTTACTGGGGTATGAAAAACATATCAGTTTAACATTTTAAAATATTACCCCTGTTACCCTTACTAAGTAAAAATCTTTTGTAAACATTTTATTATTTTATTTTTTAATATTTTTATTGATTTAGAGAGAGAAAGAAATATCAAAGTGAGAGGGAAACATTGATCGGCTGCCTCCTGTGTGCCCCACACCAGGGATTGTACCTGTAACCCAGGCATGTGCCCTGACTGGAAATCGAAAGGGCAGCTTTTTTTGGTGCATGGGGGGATGCCAATGAACTGAGCCACACTGGCCAGAGAACATTTTTATTTCTTTTTAAG